ATGAATTTTGCATCTTGATAAAGAGATTAAAATGGAATAATAATAATAATAATAATAATAATAATAATAATAATAGTGTCAAAAGAGAGTGCACCATGACATTAAGCTGACTAATCAGTGCAATTTCTTTGGCAAGACTCCTGGAGCAGGAAACTAGTCTATACGTGCATCTACACCAAACATGGGCATACTTGGGCCCTTCAGGTGTTTTGGACTTCAACTCCCATAATTCCTAACAGCCTCAGGCCCTTTCCTTTCCCCACTTTTCCAAAAAGTGAGATTTTCTTTTGGAATTTTGAAAAGAGTTGAGGTTTCTTTTGGAATTTTTGCAAAACTTGGGGTTTTGTTTTGAAATTTTTGCAAATGCCCTTTCCTTCTCCCCCTCAGCCTCTTAAGCAGAAAAAAGGGAAGGGAAAAGAAAAAGAAAGGGGACTGAGGCTGTTGGGAATTGTGGGAATTGAAGTCCAAAACACCTGGAAGGCCCAAGTTTGCCCACGCCTGATCTGCTCTGTGGAATGAATGCGGTTGCACCCCATTTGAACTGAAATGGTTCAGTACTATGGAGTCTGGGAGTTGTACTTTTCCCAGATCTGCAAGTCGCTTCTGATGTGAGAGAATTGGCCATCTACAAGGACGTTGTTCAGGGGGACACCTGGATGTTTTATCATCCTGTGGGAGGCCTCCCTCATGTCCCCCCATGAGAAGCTAGAGCTGACAGATGGGAGCTCACCCTGCTCCCATGATCCATGCCACTGACCTTTCATTCAGCAGTTCATCCAGCACCGGGGCCCCCTTATTTTTTTTTAATAATATTAGTGTTGAATTTTAATTTTGGTGGATTTCAGATTATATCCTGTGCAGCTTTAATTATTGGCCACTTTCGGTCCCCTTTTAAGAGAGATAAAGCGGTACAGTAATAATGATGATGACAATAATAATAATAATAATAATAATAATAATAATCTATAAATGGTCAGACGAATCTTGTGACCTTGCCCCTTGAACCCTGGCATTGTCACACTGGGCACTGAAGGTCACTGGAACAGGCCAAAAAGACTGGCAGAATTATTTCCATTATCATATTATTACTATATATTATATAATATTATATTTTTATGTATTATATTTTTATATTTATTTAAATACCATATATCTAATTTTACTATATATACATTATATCTTATGTTACTGTATATTAGCGCTGAGCTGCTGAACTTGCTGGCCAAAAGGTCGCAGGTTTGAATCCGGGGAGCGGCATGAACTCCCGCTGTTAGCCCCAGCTTCTGCCAACCTAGCAGTTTGAAAACATGCAAATGTGAGTAGATCAATAGGTACTGCTCTGTCGGGAAGGTAACAGCGCTACATGAAGTCATGCTGGCCACATAACCTTGGAGGTGTCTATGGACAATGCCGGCTCTTCGGCTTAGAAATGGAGATGAACACCAACCCCCATCTGTTGGCTCACTAAGTATCTCCCGGATCCTTTTCCTTTGTTGCTCTTCATCATAGTCTTGCTCACGAGTAGTTTTCCTGCCTCTCCTAATACAACTAGTATTACTATCTATCTATTACTAGTTACTATCACTGCCAGCAGACTCTATCACAACATTTAATGTCAAGGAGAAACCTTTACCTACTGTATATTAATTATATTAATTATAATTATAATATAACAAAATAGCATATACGTAGCATTGAAAAATAATATAATATAAAACACACACACACAAAGATATATAGAATAATAAAATAATAATAATATATTTAAACCATTGAAAAATATTATAGTAAAATAATAAATAATCAAACTCCCATGATTCCATAGCCTTGGGCCATTGCATTTCAAGTGGGATCAAACTGCATTCATTCTGCTGTGTAGATGCACCTATAGACTCCATGAGTTTGATGCCTTCAAAAGAAATTGCACCGACTAGCCAGCCTAATCTCGTGCACCACTCTCTTTTGACATTATTATTATTAGTTTGAATCCAGACTGAAACCGAAGGAGCAAAAGTTGGAACCAAAGTGTATTTTGGAGCAGAAAGGTGTGGGCCCCTCTCCTCCTTGCCTCAATTATCTTTTATGGTGTGACACCATCCAAGTTGCGGCCCAAGCTGTTCTTCTGGATGGAAATGGTTGTTTACGATTTATATTGGGGAGATATATGTGTGTGTGTGTGTGTGTCAGTCCTTGATCATGCCTGGTCTTGCAACAGCCTGAGAAGTAGGTCACCTTTCCACCCATTTTACAGATGGGAAACTGAGATCTTGCAAGGAGTTGCCTCAGGTCAAAGGAACCAGGCTGACGCTCTCCCAGTGGAGCAAACCGTGGAGTCAAAGAAACTGCCATTTCCATCTTCTTTCTGCTTAGGTATTATGTACCTTTGTCAAACTACAGCTCCCAGGATTCCTTAGCATTGGGCTATGCTTTCCCATGCTGTCATGGAGCATTCACATTTGAGAAGTTCCTGCTAGGATCACGATACCCATGGATGATGCTGGATGGGGGATTCTGGAAGTTGTGATCCAAAAAGGACCCCATGTTTAATTGGATGTGTGTATTTCCCACATTAGCAAAGACAATGTTATTTATAACTGACCTTTCCCTCTTAAACCAGACTCAAAAGTGACTAGTACTATTACCCATGTTGGCTGGGGCATTCTGCGGACCTTCAAACTGCATTAATCCTACACCCAATTGATGGGTTGCTGAGTCAAGGCCCCAAAACGAATCCCCAAATATAGGACACACACACACCCCTCTCACCTAAAAATCCCTTTCGGTGACGGAAAGGCAATATCTGCTCCCAGTTGGGATATTGGCTATCAACCAAGAGGCAGTGAGCTCATCCCAGAAGAGACCAGGCTTGCCCCATGCGCCATGTTCCCAAAACATCAAGGTGTGTGGGGAAAAACCCTCTGATACACCCACAAATATGTGTGGACCTTTCTTCAGGAGGAAGTTGAATGAGTGCTGGAGAGCCAACATCTGCTCCTAAGGTTGTTGTGGGGTTTTCAGGCTGTATGGCCATGTTTCAGTAGCATTCTCTCCTGATGTTTCGCCTGCATCTGTGGCAAGCATCATACAGGTGAAATGTCAGGAAAGAATGCTACTGGAACATGGCCATATGGCCCAAAAAACTCACAACAACCCAGTGATTCTGGCCATGAAAGCCTTTGACAACACATCTACTCCTAAATTGGGATATTGGCCATAAACCGAAAGGATGGAAGTTCATCTGTGCGTCATGTTCCCAAAAGGCGTAAGTCAAACCCCAAAACAACCCCACTGCCCATTGAGCATGCCAAATGGGGGATTCTGGGAGTTGTGATCCAAAAAGGAAATCTTTCCCATGTTCGATGGGAGAGGTTCCCACATATTAGGAGAGATGATGGTGATGTCCTGCTCTTCTCTCTTAAGCCAGACTCAAAGCTCAGCATTCCTTTATTGGCTGGGCAGGATTCTGGTGACTGTAGTAGAACACTATTCCGAAGCCAGCTTGGGGAATTTGCAGTAGTGCTACAGTGTAGACCAAGGGGGCCCCCAAACTTTGCCGGACTGTCATTTGAAAAGGACATGAATCCTCTGCACACGGCACAGATCATCTTATTTGGAGTGCAAAGAAAACACGAAAGAACGATACACAATATTTAGAGTTGGGAATAACTTGAACCAACATAAACTTACCAGTGTTTCAATGGGAAGTGTGAGAATCCTTTTGGCTAGGGAGAGAGTCAAGTTAATGAGGATTGTTGTTGTGGGCCTTCAAGTTTTCAGACCCAGGGCAACCCTAAGTCTAAAGTTTATGCGTAAAGGCTGGGTCAAGGACCTTGGAGGGCCGCATCGGGCCTGCAAGCCTTAGCTTGGGAACCCCTACAGTGTGTAGAATAATAGAATAATAGTGTATGAGACACTGCATGGACCATCTAGTCCAGGCAGGGGCAAATTTTGGCCCTCCAGGGGTTTTGGACTTTAACTCTCACAATTCCTAACAGCCTCAGGCCCCTTCCTTTTCCCCCTCAGCTAAACCCTAAGCCAAAAATTCCAAAACAAAACCCCACTTTTTTGCAAAAATTCCCAAAGAAAACCTCACTTTTTGCAAAAATTCCAAAACAAACACCACATTTTGCAAAAATCCAAAAGAAAACTCCACATTTTGCAAAACTCCAAAACAAAACCCCTCTTTTTGCAAAATTCCAAAAGAAAACCCCACATTTTGCAAAAATGCCAAAAGAAAACCCCACTTTTTGCAAAATTCCAGAACAAACCCCCACTTTTTGCAAAAACTCCAAAACAAACCCCACTTTTTGCAGAATTCCAAAACAAAACACCACATTTTGCAAAAATTCCAAAAGAAAACTCTACTTTTTGTAAAATTCCCAAAGAAAACCCTACTTTTTGTAAAATTCCAAAAGAAAACCTCACATTCTGCAGAATTCGAAAACAAAATCTCACTTTTTGCTAAATTCCAAAACAAAACACTACATTTTGCAAAAATTCCAACAGAAATCCCCACATTTTGCAAAATTCAAAAATAAAACTTCACATTTTGCAAAATTCCAAAAGAAACCCCACTTTTTGCAAAATTCAAGACAAAACCCCAGATTTTTGAAAAAAAGGGGAAAAGCAAAGGTCCTGAGGCTGTTAGGAATTGTGGGAATTGGAAGTCCAAAGTACCTGGAGGGAGGGCCCAAATTGGCCTATGCCTGATCTAGTCTAACTCCTTTCTGCCAGGCAGGAAAAGCACAATTAAAGTACCCCCGACAGATGGCCATCCATCCTCTGTTGAAAAGCCTCCAAGGAAGGAGCTTCTGCAACAGTTTGTAGTAAGTGGTTCCCAACCTTTGGGTCTCCAGGTGTTTGGACTTCAACTCCCACACTTCCTAACAGCTGGTATTTCTGGGAGTTGAAGTCCAAAACACTGTTGTAGGTGCACCCAAAGTGTGTGTTGCTATGGCATAAGACGAACCCCCCAAATGTGGAGAGGGCCTGTGTCTCACCTTCTGGGCTTGAGCGATCATCTTTCGGACCACCTCCTTGATGTGGGGCTGGCAGTCAATGGGGGGCTGCATGTAGACGGTGGCCCTGGTCACCCCTCGGTAAGCGATGGTCTCCGGCCAGCCCAGGTCCAGCTGCGGGATGGACCGGTCCGACTTCTCCGGCCAATACTCCAAAGAGTGCTCTGGTCCCGCATCTCCGTTCAGGTCCGAGCGTTCCTCTCCGTGCCGTACGTGCTCCGACCCGGGGTCATAGGTCTCCAAGTTGTCCAGGATCTTCTTGAGTTCCAGCTCGGAGAGGAAATCCCGGATGTTCTCTTTCTTGAGGACCTCGTAGAAGGCCTCCGGTCCTTTGGAAACCAGAGCTTCCAGGGCCAAGCGTTGCTCTTCGCTGTAGAAGAACTCCGGCTTGGATTCGGAGGACCTCCAATTGACGTGGCTGTCGTCCAGACACTGGACCTGGGAGTAAGCCATGCTTGCTTTCTTTTACTTACAAAATAAAACCACAATAAATAGAAAGGAGAAATAATTTAGCGTATCCCTGAGTCGGATGAGTAGCAGCTAATAAGGTTTCTAACCGGGGCCCTTAACAACCCCTTGTAAACACTTTCCCCTTTGGGTCCAATCCTTGCAAATATGTGTATTATACTATATATTAAGAATTCTTTAAATGTTATAGCCGTTTTCTCGGTTTGTTCATCATCTCAGTGCACTAAAAAGCAGGTTTTGTGCCGGGTTACTTTTCGCCCAGGAAGCAACAATGTGAAAAAATGTGGCGCTGAAATCCCAATATTCTCGTGCCAACTTTCTGATAGTTCACGGCTTCCTTTCCCATGGGAAAATGAGCAAAAATAACATGTCAGGAGCTTCCAGCATTGCGGAAATGGGAGCAGGACAGAACGGAGAAAGCTTTGCTCGTCTTTATCTGTCAAAATCCAAAGTTTCTGGAGTTTCTGGAGTCGATTCCTTCCTCAATTCCGGCTGGTGTTTCTGATTTCCGACTCCAACTCTTGCCTTGCCTTGCTTTCCTGTTGTTGTTTTTCCCAGTCTCTCTCTTGGATTCCTTTGGAGGACTGTTGGCCGGTTCTCTGCCAGGAATGAAATCCACAGGAGTGTCAGGGAAGAAAGGAGTGAGAAAAAGAAAGAGAGGAAAGAGTGGCTGGCTCCTCCCTGCCCTACCTGCCGTCACATGCTGTTGGCAAGCCCTTGCCTCGGCTTGCCCCGGTTAACTCCTTCGCACCCATGCCTTCTTTCCAAAGATAAAGGGCAGGAAACTGACTCATCCCTGGGTCTGGAGGAGGCTCACATCATCGGCCGGGGCGGGAGACGTAGTGCGTCCAGCTGGGATGGAGGCCTGCCAGGTGGAACACATACCCTTTGTGTTTGCACATTACCTGTTGGCTGCCTTCGAACCTTATCTCAGAGGATTTCGCCTTTCAAACTTGTGTTTGCTTTCTGGAAGATAGGCCTTTTATGGCCCTTGGGTGTTAAGTCCCTTTGGGGCCAAAAGGGCATTTAAATAATGTGGTTTATTACTGCTTTAAATGTCATGGCTCAATGGTATGGAATCCTGGGACCTGTAGTTTTCTAAGGCCAATGCTGTGGGAATCCTGGAAGCGGTAGTTTTTCAGGGCTAATGCTGTGGGAATCCTGAAAGCTGTAGTTTTCCAAGGACAGTGCTGTGGGAATCCAGGAAGCTGTAGTTTTCCAGAGCCAATGCTGTGGGAATCCTGGAAGGTGTAGTTTTCCAAGGCCAATGCTGTGGGAATCCTGGAAGGTGTAGTTTTCCAGGGCCAGTGCCATGGGAATCCTGGAAAGTGTAGTTTTCCAGGGCCAATGCTGTGGAATCCTGAGAGGTGTAGTTTCCAAAGGCCAATGCTGTGGAATCTTGGGAGGTGTAGTTTTCCAGGGCCAATGCTGTGGGAATCCTGAGAGCTGTAGTTTTCCTAGGTTTATTACCACTTTAAATGTCATGGCTCAATGGTATGGAATCCTGGGAGCTACAGTTTTCTAAGGCCAGTGCAGTGGAATCTAGGGAGGTGTAGTTTCCAGGGCAAATGCTATGGGAATCCTGGGACCTGTAGTTTTCCAAGGCCAATGCTGTGGAGTCTTGGGAGGTGTCATTTTCCAGGGCCAATGCTGCAGGAATCCTGGAAGCTGTAGTTTTCCAGGGCCAATGCTGTGGATTCCTGACAAGTGTAGTTTCCAAAGGCCAATGCTGTGTAATCTTGGAAGGTGTAGTTTCCCAGGGCCAATGCTGCAGGAATCCTGGAAGCTGTAGTTTTTCCAGGGCCAATGCCGTGGAATCCTGGAAGGCGTAGTTTTCCAAGGCCAGTGCTGTGGAATCTTGAGAGATGTAGTTTTCCAAGGCCAGTACTGTGGGAATCCTGGGATCTCTAGTTTTCTAAGACAAATGCTGAGGGAATTCTGGGAGCTATAATTTTTCCAAGGTTTTCAGCCTTCTCTGTCCAAGACAGCTGGGGCCTCCTCACCAAACTACAATTCCCAGAATTCCATAGCATGGACCAATGGCAGGTAAAGAGGGGGGCCAAACTGGATTAAGTCTCCAGTGTAGATAAACTCAGGTCTGTAGGTGTGTTGTGCTGCTGGGAGATGATGTCGATTTTCAACTTTCTCCTTTCCTTGTGTTGCTTTTCAGATGACGTTGGCTGCATTGACCCCATTGAATGCGCCCGGATCTGTGGGGCTGAAGTGGGGTGCTCCAACATTGCTTATCCCAAACTTGTGATGGAACTGATGCCAAGTGGTAAGACCAGCCAGGGGTGGATCTGGCCTCATCTTCAACCCAGTTTACCAGTTTTGTCTCTCCTCCTCCTGCTCCTCCTCCTCTTCTTTGTCCTCTTCTTCCACCTCCTCCTCTCCTCCTTCCTCCTCTTCATTTCCTCCTTCCTTTCCCCTTCTCTACATCCTATTCTTCTTCCTCCTCTTCTTCTGCTTCCTTTCCTTCTTCTCCTTTACTTCTTTTCCTTCTCTTCTCCTCCCCTTCTTTTCCTTTTCCTTCTCCTCCTCTTTTCTTTCTTCCTCCTCTCCTCTTCTTCCTCTTCTTTCCTCCTCTTCTCCTCCTTCTCTTTTCTCTTCCCTTTTCTTCTTTTCCCTTCTCTCCTCCTTTTCCTTCTTTTTCTTGTCGTCTTCTTCTCCATCCCATTCTTCCTCACCTCTTCCTCCTCTCCTCCTCCTCCTCCTCCTCCTCCTTCATCTTCTTCTCATTTTTCTATTTCCACTTCTTCATCACCTCCTCCTTCTCTTCTTTCCTCTTCCTTCTCCCTCCTTCCTCCCTCCTTCCTTCCTTTCCTCTTTCTTTCCTCCTTCCTTCCTTCCTTCTTCTTCTTCCTTCCTTCTTCTTCCTTCCTCCCCCTCCCTCCCTTCCCTTTGTCTCCTTTTATTCTCCAACCAGATACCCATCCCATCAGTACACCACTGAATGCCAACGCCCAGTGGACGAGGGGATTCTGGGTGTTGCAGTGTCCTCCAAAAGGAAGCTTCCTTAGGCTGAGAGGAAACATCTCCTTCTGGCTTTGATCAAGGCCAGCCCTGTGTTGTTGTCCTCTGAAAGGCCAATGAATGCCTCATTGGTGGATGATGGTGGTCTTTGCCCCTTCTCCAGGCCTGCGGGGCTTGATGATCGCGGTCATGATGGCCGCCCTGATGTCCTCACTGACCTCCGTCTTCAACAGCAGCAGCGCCCTTTTCACCATGGACATCTGGAGGAAGGTGCGCCAGGGGGCCACCGAGAAGGAGCTCCTGGCAGTTGGAAGGTACGGCGGGCCCTCAAGGGCCACTGGGCTTCTCCCTAGGAATCCCTAGCTCAGGGGTTCAGCAAAGGGCCAGTTCAGCGTTCCTCAGAATGGTTATAGGTTGTTGTTGTTGTTGTTGTTGTTGTTGTTGTGTGCCTTCAAGTCATTTCAGACTCAGGATGGCCCGAAGGCAACCCTCTCAAAGAGTTTTCTTGACAAGATTGATTCAAAGGAGTCTTGCTTTTGTCTTCCTCTGAGGCTGAGAGAATGTGGCTTGTCTAAAGTCATCACTGGGTTCAGATCCACAATCTGAAGTTCAAACTACCATGTCACACTTTATACATTCTTTCCCTCTCAGTTTCCTACCTACCTTCCTTTCTCCCTTCCCTTCTTCTCTTTCTATTTCCTACTTATCTTTCTTTTTGCGTCCCTCCTTCTCTTTTTCTTCCCTACCTTTCTTTCTCCCTTTCTCCTTTCTTTCTTTCTCTTTCTCTCTTCTCTTCCTCCTCTCTCTGTTTCCTTCCTTCTTTCCTTCCTTCCTTTCTTTCTCCTCTTCCTTCCCTCTCTGTTTTCTTCCTTCCTTCCTTCCTTTATTTCTTTCTCACTTCTTTTCCTTCCCTCTCTTCTTTCTTTCTTTTTTTCTTTCTTTCTCCTCTTCCCTCTTTTTTCCTACCTACCTACCTTTCTGTCTTCTCTTCCTTCTCTCACTTTTTCTTTTCTTCCTTCCTTCTCTTCTTACCTGCCATTCTCTCCCCCTTTCTTCTCTTCCTTCCCTCTCTGTTCCCTACCTCCCTTTCTTTCTCTTCTTCCTTCGCTCTCTCTTTCCTACCTACCTTCCTTTCTTCTCTTCCTTACCTCCCTTTTTCTTACCTACCTTACTTTCTCCCTTTCTTCTCTTCCTTTTCTCTCTTTTTACTACCTATCTTTCTTTCTCCCTTTCTTCTCTTCCTTCCCTCTCTATTTTCTACCTACCTTTCTTTCTCTCTTTCTTCTCTCCCTTCTCTCTCTGTTTCCTTCCTACCTTTCTTCTTTTTCTCCTTCTCTCTTGTTTCCTTGCTTCCTTTTCTTTCATTCTTTCTATCCCTTCCCTATTTTGGTGGGAAATGGAGAGAAGAAAGGAAGGGAAAGGAAAGGAAAGGAGAGTTAAAGAGCAAGAAGAGGATGGCAGAGAAGAAGAGAAGAAATAGAGAGAGAAAGAAAAAGAGAGAGGCAAGGAAGAGAAGGAAGGAAGGAAGGAAGGAAGGAAGGAAGGAAGGAAGGAAGGAAGGAAGGAAAAAGAGAGAGAAGAAGAGAAAGAAAGGGAGGTAGGGAACAGAGAGGGAAGGAAGAGAAGAGCAGGGTGCACATGGTGCTGGCATAAACAGCGAGTCTAAAGTTTAGGACGTGGGCCAGGGAAGTGACTTTGGTGGGCTGGATTTGGCCCGCGGGCCGTAGTTTGAAGGCCCCTGCTCTTGGTCCTTTGGTGCAATTCTGTAATCAACTTCCAGCAGTTATCACCATCAACATCACCATGTTATTCCTTCCCCACCTCTCCTTATTACAACGCTCGAGGCGAGTTACAACATAGCTCAAGAGACGTAATCATTATATAAAATACACACATTAAAGGTTTCTACGAAATGCATATATTAAAACACGCAGAACAAAGATTAGAATATAGTGAGTTTAAAATTAATTACCAAAACTGGCTGCGTAGGCCTTCTGGAAGAGATGGGTCATCAGAAGTTGTCTTTGAGTCCTCCAGTGCATTCTGGGCTCAACTGGTGTCAGATGGAATTGGTGATAAAGGGGGTAAGAAATGGGGGGGGGGTGGTGGTGGTCTAGATGGCCTCAGAGGGTCCCATTTTCCTGCTCCGGAGTAAGTGAAACCCCGAACATAAACGATACCTTTTGCCCATTGTGTTTTTGGCATCTCTTTCTCCACCGTGGCCTCAGTCTCACCGTCTGTGAAATGGGTTGAGTCCCATTTTTGGAAGAGACAGAGCGGTAACCTAATTGGCAGGCTGAAGCATTAATTATTCGAGTCGCCTGACGGGCGGGGGCTATTTCTTGATTTGGCTTCACTTCATCTCTTCGCTGCCTTTGGAACCCCAGGCGCCACAATAAAACCAACTACAAAGAGAAGGAAAACATTAATGAAGAGCATTGCCAAACAAGAGTTAGAGAGCAGGGCTGTTGTTTCGAATTCCTTCAGGCAGCGGCATGCAAGGAGCGTCTACATGGCGGAATGAATCCAGTTTAACACCGCTTTAACTGCCTTGTCTCAAGGCTACAGAGTCCTCAGAGTTGGCGTTTGCTTTAGAGGCCCCTCTTTAAAGGCTCAATGCTATGCTATCCTGGAAGTTGCAGTTTTACAACTTCCAGGATGCCAAAGGGTGCAAAGGACCTTATAAAACTGTAACTCCCAGGATTGAACCCTTAAAGTGGGACCAAACTGCAGTAAATCTTGCCAATCAAAGGGTTGACAGTTCAAAGCCTGGGTCGGAGTGAGCTTAACTGCCCTGGCTCAAGGCTATGAAGTCCTGGGAGTTGGCATTTGCTTTAAAGGCTCAATGCTATGTTATCCTGGGAGTTGCAGTTTTACAAGGGCCTTCTCTGCCAAAGGGTGCAAAGGACCTTATAAAACTGTAACTCCCAGGGTAACATAGCATTGAGACCTTAAAGTGGGGCCAAACTGCATTAATTTTGCAGTGCAGATGCAGGACCGGGCTTTAGCACAGCAGGTTAACCACCAACTGCAGTAAATCTTGCCAATCGAAAGATTGGCAGTTCGAAGCCTGGGTTGGGGTGAGCTTAACTGCCCTGGCTCAAGACTATGGAGTCTTTAATGCGTCCACGTTAAAGGCTCAATGCTATGTTATCCTGGAAGTTGCAGTTTTACAAGGGCCTTCTCTGCCAAAGGGTGGAAAGGACCTTATAAAACTGTAACTCCCAGGATAGCATAGCATTGAACCCTTAAAGTGGGACCAAACTGCAGTAAATCTTGCCAATCGAAAGGCTGACAGTTCGAAGCCTGGGTTGGGGTGAGCTTAACTGCCCTGGCTCAAGACTATGGAGTCTTTAAAGCCTCCACGTTAGAGGCTCGATGCTATGTTATCCTAGAAGTTGCAGTTTTACAAGGGCCTTCTCTGCCAAAGGGTGCAAAGGACCTTATAAAACTGTATCTCCCAGGATAGCATAGCATTGAGCCCTTAAAGTGGGGCCAAACTGCATTAATTTTGTAGTGCAGATGCAGGGCCGGGCTTTAGCACAGCAGGTTAACTACCAACTGCAGTAAATCTTGCCAATCGAAAGGTTGGCAGTTCAAAACCTGGGTCGAGGTGAGCTTAACTGCCCTGGCTCAAGGCTATGAAGTCCTGGGAGTTGGCATTTGCTTTAAAGGCTCAATGCTATGTTATCCTGGGAGTTGCAGTTTTACAAGGGCCTTCTCTGCCAAAGGGTGCAAAGGACCTTATAAAACTGTATCTCCCAGGATAGCATAGCATTGAGCCCTTAAAGTGGGGCCAAACTGCATTAGTTTTGCAGTGTAGATGCAGGGCCGGGCTTTAGCACAGCAGGTTGACCGCCAGCTGCAATAAATCTTGCCAATCGAAAGGTTGACAGTTCGAAGCCTGGGTCGGGGTGAGCTTAACTGCCCTGGCTCAAGACTATGGAGTCTTTAAAGCCTCCACGTTAGAGGCTCGATGCTATGTTATCCTAGAAGTTGCAGTTTTACAAGGGCCTTCTCTGCCAAAGGGTGCAAAGGACCTTATAAAACTGTATCTCCCAGGATAGCATAGCATTGAGCCCTTAAAGTGGGGCCAAACTACATTAGTTCTGCAGTGTAGATGCAGGGCCGGGCTTTAGCACAGCAGGTTAACCGCCAGCTGCAGTAAATCTTGCCAATAGAAAGGTTGACAGTTTGAAGCCCGGGTCGGGATGAGCTCCTAGTCTTTAACCCAGTTTCTGGCTACCTAGCAGTTCAAAAGCAAAATGTGAGTAGATAAATAGGTACTGCTTTAAGGCATCCATAAAGAAGTGTCAGAAAAATGCCAGCAATTTGATGAAGGAGGACGTTTACAAACAAAGCTCTTCAAAAGGGAAGGTGGAGCAACAGCACCCCCTGTGGCTGGGACCTAGCACAGCCTCCAAGATGCCAAAGATGGGAAAGCCTATACCTCTACCTATATATACTTCTACCTATATATACCTCTACCTCTGCCTATATATTCCTCTACCTATATGGACAGACAAGAAGACAGTTGTCTGTCTTGTCAGTGTATAACGGCATTGAATGTTTGCCGTCTATATGTTCTGTGATCCACCCTGAGTCCCTTCGGGGTGAAAAGGGCGGAATGTAAACATTGAAAATAAATAAATAAAATAGATGGAACCAAAGTTTCTACCAGATATAATACGTGGAAGGAAGGCATAGCAAAATGCAAACCTGTATAAATACAATTGCAAAAGAAATTGTCGCAATAAAATGTGAAAAAACAAACAACCACGAACCCACAACAACATGTAGCAAAGCAAATGGGCCAATGCAAAAATATTTCAAATATACAAAGCTACAAAACAGCTTTGAGTCAATATAACTTGGGCATCCCTTTGTTTTAACATAGTTGAAATTACTTTTTGTTCCATCTGAATGTGCCCAATGGTGGCTCTTCTCTTTTCATCATTGTATGTGGAAGGATGATAAAAACATCAAATCATCTGGGCGTCCCCTGGGCAACGTCCTTGCAGACGGCCAATTCTCTCACACCAGAAGCAACTTGCAGTTTCTCAAGTCGCTCCTGACACAACCAAAAAAATAAATAAATTGTATGTGGAAATCGGTTTTCATATTGATATTTTGCTGGCTTTTAAAATGGTTTTTAGGGTTGTGAGCTCCTTTGGGTCTCTAAAGGTAAACATTCCCCCTGACATTAAGTCTAGTTGTGTCTAACTCTGGGTGGTGGTGCTCATCTCCATTCCTAAGCCAAAGAGCCAGCGTTGTCCATAGACGCCTCCAAGGTCATGTGGCCAGCATGATTGCA